CCCCAAAACCCCAAAACCCCAAAACCCCACTGAGATTATTATTTTCTAATTAAGTAAAGAAATTAATTTTTGATAATAGAAATTAAAAGCAAATACTATATAAAAATGTCAAATAATTTTTTATTATTTATTGTTACTATGTGCATCTGGTAATTTCCTAGAAACTTCTTTTCCAAAGTCAATTTAAGATTTTCTAATGACTTTCCTAGAGTTGAATCTTATTCTTACATGCTGTTAAAATTAGATCTTTTCTTTTTTCTAAGTACTGAAGAAGTCCTCAAATTTTCTACTTGCCTATAACTTTTATTTTGACTTGAAAATATCTGGAAAATTAGTGCTTTGATTTTCTGCTTCAATTGAATCTAGATTGTGGTATTTTATTTATTTTTCATTTTCTAATGTTTTGAAAAGCTTTGCTTATGATTCCTCATAGTAGTTTGAAAATTATCTAAAACTTTAGCTGTTATTGCTATTTATTATAGACTATTTGACTTACTCATTCAGAGTTCTGGTAAATTACTAGCCAGAATTTCTCATTGATTATTAAAATTCAGGTCCTTAATTTCTACTTTGGCACTTTTTTAATAATTCAAGATTAATAGGTGGAATGAATATACGTAGATTTTTTCTACAATCAATAAACCTCTGTCGAGACTTAATGAAATCTTAATCCTAAGTGTATTAATAATACTCATCAATAGCCTCATTTTTATTTTTATTTATTTTTATTATACCTGAAGAGCTACGCCCTTAGATAGGTTTTAGAATTGCGTGTGAATATTATTTATGATCATGCTCTTAATTTTACATATATTTTTAAGAATTAAAACGTAATTATTTCATATCTTTTTGCTATTCTTTTTATTAATAAGTAACTGAGTCTTCTTCCTTTGTAGATGTTTGAGATTTGTTTGAAATAATACCAGATCTAAAACTCCTATATTCATTTGAAGTTTTAATATTGATGAATTCAAACTTATTGGGAGTGATTATAGTCTATGGATTTTTTTACTTAGGAATTTTTTAATTCAGTCTTATCCTATTGTCCTTTAGTTGATTTAATAGTATTTTCTAAGACTTTTTGAACTGCATTGTATCTGTAAAAGACTCTTTTAGATTCACACTGTCCTCTGCTTCTCTGAATTAGGGAGTATTTCTTATTTACTGGGTCTCATCATCATTAATTGCTATTTTATCAATGTAAAACTATATTGTAGACAAAGAAGTTTGTTTCTTCTCATTTTAAAATCTAGAAATACTTGAGTAAACTTAATCTTACTTCTTATTGGAATGGCTGATTTCAACCTAATTTGAAAAAGCGCATGGCATATCATCTAGTTTAAACTCTGAAATAGGCTGAGTATGTTTAGGCAATTTAAGCAGGTTGAATTCAATCACTTTTTGACTTTTCTCTACGCATGTTTCTCATCCATTTTTTTATTTTCCCATTGCAATTCCTCGATTAAGGGTCTCTAGGCTAACCTCAGTATCACGAAGAAGAGATTTAAGCTTTCTATTTTGATATATTAAGTGATCTATTAACCCTTCCTTCTAATTATCGAATTCAATTTTCTAGTTCTCTGGCCTTAAATACTCTTTTGCTTTTTAAGTGATCATGAGCAATAAATACTTTTAAATAATCTAATAAATTATAAAATACGCTTGAATATATAAGTACTTTTCAAATTTATAATTCTTCATTTCTGATTAATTTGATTTGCTACAGCAATAATCCAGTGGGGTTTTGGGGTTTTGGGGTTTTGGGG